TGGTGGTGGTGGTGGTGGTTTTGGTGTTGATGTTGTTGTTGTTGTTGTTGCTGCTGCTGCTGTCACCATCGTTGTTGTTGTTGTTGTTGCTTTTGTTGTTGCTGTTGCTGTTGCTGGTGTTGCTGTTGCTTGTGCTGCTGCTTGCGCTGTTGCTTTTCTGTTGCTGCTGTTGCTTGTGCTTGCGCTTGCGCTTGCGCTTGCGCTTGTGGTTGTTGCTGATGTTGTTGTTGGCGGTGGTGGTGGCGGCGGTGTTGTGTCGCTGTCGCTGTTGACTTTGTGACTCTGGTTGTTGTTGCCGTTGCTCCTGCTCCTCCTAACATGATGCAAGAGCGTGGCGCTTCCAAGATCACATGGCCGGACGATTGTCGGACCGACGGAGGAGGCTGACGTACACCAAACAGAGCCACTGAGTCGGCATGAACTGCACGGACAAGGCAGGCGGGTCGACGATGGTCGCACTCCAATCGGCCAAGGGCTGGGTGCAACAAGCCCTTGCATCACACACGAATTAAAGCAGCCGAACACAATTGGCCGAAGAACCACCGCGGAAGCAACGGCCAATGACCACAAGTCACCAGGGAAACAACAGAAAACATGCGGAGGTAAGCACATTGCAGAACTTCTTTTGCGAGCATGTGCTCGAATTCGAGCGCACAGACGCTAGAATGAATGAATTCAACGTGAGCGGATGGCATGAATTGCAGAAGCTGAAATTACACCGTTTTTTGCGATCATCGGAGCATGACGAATAAGACACCCAGAACGCCAGGAAGAAAGGCTCGAAAGGAGCAGCAAGGACTCAGGGAATAGGCATCTTCCGCGAGCAGCTGTACAGGTGCAGGACCACATTCAATCAAAAGGGTGTTGGAGAGGAGTGCAGCACACTCCAGATGTGCTGCTGCTGTCGGCGGCAGTGCACAGCAATCCAGGTCCTCCTTTGAAAGTGACAACCGAGCACGCTTCGCGTTTCATTGTGGCCGCGGTGTGGGCTCCAATACTCCCAGCGCCGCGTCCAGTCAAGCGCAACAGACGGCATTGGAAACGGGAACAAAGACTGTCGAAAGGAGACAAGGGTCATCAACGAACAAAGAGTAGAGAACAGTGGAAGGAGAATAGACAAAAGGTGCTAGGTGATCGCTAAGGACCTATGGATGGCCGGATACTCGAAGCTAGATGACAGACCATGAACAGTATTTACAAGTTGCCGTGAGCTCTCTAATGAAATCCATCTTTCAGGACGTTGTTCAAGAAACCTGACGAACCTGCTGGGTACGGCTTTTTTTTGGAATTCTGACTACTTCCACCCTTCCGCCGTTTAAAAATAGCCAAGGCCCCCTTTTCAATGAGATACCCGGGCCTGAGGTCCCAGGATCGCCTCAAACTCCTCCAGAGGTCGAGGCAAGTCCAATCCGTGCTTCCTGGGGGTTCTTTGGGAAGGTTTCCGGAATTTTTTTGGGGGGAGGGTTTAGGGTTAAGGGTAAGGGTTTAGGGTTTAGGGTTTAGGGCTTAGGGCTTAGGGTTTGGGGCGTTTAGGGTTTAGGGTTGGGGGGGGGGGGGGGGGTTCTGGCCTGGGAGCCCCGTTTTAATCCAGGAGCCTGCTTTGCTACACCTGCATTAAAGCCAGCGGGCGTTCTGAAACTCCAATGTGGGGTTGGTGTAGATCCCTATGGTAACTCAAATTAAATCCCAAAACGAGAACCCAGATAAGCCTTGATACCCTCAGAACAGTCTCAACAGAAGCCCAAGAATTCAAGTGGAGATTCGGCAGTCGACCGCCGCACGTCTCGGGGCACCGCCGCGACAGAGTCTCCGGATCACGCGTGAAGGCCTCTCTCCCCGGTATATATTGGGGGACCGAAAAAGGGAGCCTAATTTNNAATTTAGAGAACTACCCACAAAGTGAAAGGGATATGCTGAAAGCAGGCGAGCATACAGTACTCTACATGGGGAGGTCTGTGCATTGGTAGATAGATTCAGATAGACAGACAGATGGATGGACAGATGGAGAGATGGAGAGATGGAGAGATGGACAGATGGATAGATAGAGCTGACTTGGGCTTTGCGACATCACCCCTCCCAATCAGTCGCAAGATCAAACCAGTAATTTCCCATAGTCAGTATATACATGCAGGATTTCTCACATACCTCACTTAGCATACCAAACGTGGGTCATGGCGGATACTCGCAAGGGTACGACATGTTCCGCCACAAGCACCGACTGAAGGCAAATGTGTGCGAATGCATGCATGGTATACCGAACACGGAGTACGTCAGGCTTCTCTATCAGGACGGCTGGCTGTGCCATCTTGGATCCTGTCATCGAGATCTGTGAATATATACAGCATGCTGCAGACAACAAACACAGGCAATAGGGGGATTCCTCCTCGATTCGATATGCATGTGTCATCATGCACACATGGATACAAAACTAAGCAAGACACTTCTTTCCGCAATCAATGATACACACTCCGTTCCATCTCCATTCCGTCCTCACTCTACGCTCCTAAACCCAACACAAAAACAACCCTAGAATCCGCATATCAAACTCTCGGGTGACCTGGCGGCAGCCGGGATCCTGGCAGCCGCTGGAGGCAAGGATCAGCTTCCCGCTGCAGCCTTGACGACTCTGGAGAGTGCTTTGGACTCCGCTCTCGAACTGGTTCGTGTGAGTTGGCAGACTTGAGGACTCGGGAAGTAAACGGGTAGATCCTCAGATGCCTAGCAATCGCCAGGCGACCGTGGAGGTCACCATCACTGAAGTACTGCATCGCCCACGTTCGGCAGTCCCATCTTGCAACGTCGGGCCCGACGATCTGGATAAACTCCTTTGCTTGCAACAGTTTGCAAGAAGGGCCCTCACAAAGAGATCCAGGTCTGTTCAAGCCTTGCTTTGAGAAGCTGCTCCATTCGAACCCCCGGTCATTCCCGAAGGGCGATGAGCTCTTCTTCGCCAGTAGAATACCAGTCTACAGAGTCTACAAACTCGAGTGAGAGGCTGCATTACTACACAGACCTTCAACTCAAAGGCCCCAGGTCTGCCTTGCGGTGGACAGGGCTCGGATCGATCAAAAGACAGCGCCATACTAAAGAGGCTTCACAGCCTGCCTTCAAATCTGAAACGACAGAAACTCGGACTCCTAGCCTCAAAGCGAATATCAAAAGTGTGACTGTGTATCTACTTGTTTGATTGTCGGGGTGTTTCTCATTTTTATCGATTCATCTATTCGTCGATTGCTTCATATGTACTTTTGTGGTTAGTTTAGATATTTAGGTATGCAACTGTTTTGGGTAGATATGGGTGATAGATTGTTTAGTTTGTGTGTTCATATGTGTTTCTCTGTGTGTTTGTGCACGTATGCATGCATGCATGCAGATTGGATTGGATTGGATTGGGTTGGATTGGATTGGGATTGGATTGCATGGCTGGCAGGATGGATGGATGGATGGATGGATGGATGGATGGATAGATAAACGACATACATACATTCATGTGTATGTGGATACAAGACGGACAACAGATGGAGAGATGTGGATGAATAGATAGATAGATGAATAGATAGATTGATCGATGGATGGATGGATGGATGGATGGATGGATGGAAGGATAGGATAGACGGACAAATACATAGATAGATAGATAGATAGATAGATAGATAGATAGACAGATAGACAGATAGACAGTTAGATAGGTACATAGATAGATAGATCGACAGATAGATGGATTGATAGACAGACAGATCCAACGACACATCGATTGACAGTGGGATGTCTCATGTCCTAAAACAAGGCTCCAAGGCTCTTCCAACGGTCGCGCCATGTCTCTGTCCATACGAGATGGCTTTCCAAAGGGTGTGCTCCTGTCATCTGGATTCTTCACGCCGGCCACCTGCCAATCAAAACAAACAAAAGCCGCTTTTCCCACCTCTGCAGCCCACTTAAACCCTAAACCCCTAAACCCCTAAACCCTAAACCGTTTCTAAACCCTAAAGCCCCAGGCTCCAAAGCTCCAAGGGCCGGGCGCCTTCGCAACGGAGGCTCGCATGGCCAAGAGCACCTCGGGATCAAAGAGCTCCGAGCCGTGGCTGCGCCCCTTCACCTGCTTACGTTCCCGTACGTTGCGCTCGCTAAAGCGCTCGGGGGGCCCCCTTAGACCATGAAAAAAATAAGAGACTGAAGCCTAAACTTTCCAAACCCTAAACTCTGCAAAGCCTAAACATCTCAGAGCTCTGCCTCTTTCAGAGCCCCACCTCGTGGATCTCCGCAGCAAGCGAGGGATCCTCGGCTTGAGCCCAGGCCTCGCAGATTGCCAGGGACTCCCGAGGCACCAGGCCGTCCCCATCCTTGGATGCGCGGAAGGCTTCTTCGTTTTTCGCGCGGCAGGTCGCTGTTGGAGTTTCGGGGCAGTTTGTTGGATGCTTTTGGTGGCTGTGTGGGTTTCAGGTTCAGGGATGTCGGGTTCCTTCTCAGTTTCCAAAAACCCTTCTCGCTTTGGGCCGCTCTGAGTCTGGCGTCGGTGGTCACGAGCTCGTCTGGCTGCCGGTAAGAGAGCAGCTGTCCAACGGAGTCCCACCACTCCACACTCCCGGGCGGTCCCGCTGGCACCAAAGGAGCCGTGTGGTTGCTCCTGGCTAAAAGCAAAACGCTTCTTCACGACTCTTTGTTCGATTGTCTTGACCTCGAGTAGGCTACACTCAGACTACTCACGACCTCACGCACACAATCACACCCCTGCTTACATTGCGAATAGTTTACATTTTGTGTGGTCTTCAACTGAAGGCATGCATGGCAGAGCATTCACCAAATTCACACTCCGAGACGAGAATGGGAAGTGGATGATGACAGAAGGCATCGGAAGCTGTTGAACCCAATAGTCATCCCTGCTCTTCAAGACCTCACCGAGAGGCGCTGGTTCAATGAACTCCTCCGCTAGCTTGTCAATCCCTCCCAGCAGGGACATCAGGTCTGGCTTCTTCCCCCGCCCGAGCTGCTCTGCCGCCTCCAGGCCTCTGAAACGGCCGGAACTCGGGCTCTTCGGGGATATGAGAGATGAGTAGTTCTCTAAATTAGGGTCTCTGCTTAGGTCCCAATGATAACGCGGCACCCTTGTAAAGAGGACCCCAAAAGGGATCCTAGTTTAGAGAACTAACCATATAGGGTTGCGACTGTGTGAGTACTCGGGAGGAGTGACCAAAGCCATCGCCTCATCTGACAACCAATTTTTCGCCCGGCTGTTTCGAGAGTGCCTTGCACTGAGGTTCAAGAGGCTCCTCCAGTTTCCTGGACTGCCTTTGCCAGAAAGATGGAGACTTCGGAAGGCGATCCAAAAACAGCACACGTCAGGCTCTCCGTCAGCACATGCCCCCTGATGCTTGGCCCATGAGGCCGTGGATCCCGGTGTAAGAAGCGAGTGCAAGTACAGCATCGAAGATGGGCGATGGTCCGGTCAGAGACCCTGTCCCGGCCTTGGTCCATGAGGCTTTTGCTCTCCGAAGCGTTCATTGGTGTCGATCGGTAGACATACCTCGGAGGGTCTGCTGGGCAGTCTCTGACCCTTGTGCTCAAGGCCAAGTCGGGCTGAGAGGCTGGGCCGGGCTGCGCAGTGCCGAGCCGAAAAAGCAGTGCGTCTTCACGCCGGGGTGCCCGGAGATGGGATAGTACAGCCTCCACCGGAGATCTTTACGAAAGGAAGAGAGTCACGGAAAGGCCCCTGAAGTTACAGATTCCGATTCCGGCTCTCAGCCTGACTTGGCGGCCAGGTTCTGAAAGTGAACCTTTTCTCTAGGCGAGGTCCAACGATTGGTCCCTTCAGCCCAGCCTTGAGGGGTAAGCCCGTGAGCGGGAGCGAAGCAGAGAGGAGTGCTTTTTTCTTCAATGGCCCCCGAGACCGGAAGCTGCCGAGGACCGGCCACTCGCGCTCCGGCTTTTGGGTGTCGTCGACCATGAAGGACTCTGGACTCCTATGGTCCTATAGAACTTAACAACCAAGCAGCGACAGCTCGTAGAGGGCCGCGAACTCCGTGGAAACACGCCCGAGGGCCTGAGAGAAGCAGGAGACGCGAAACCAGCAAAAAAAACACACCTTGGCAGCCGCCCCCCCGTAAAGACGCTCCACACACAGCTAATGCGGCGCAGCACATGCAGACACGCAAAGACTGTGATAAGTCAGGAAAAAAAAGGATGGCCCTGGCTCTGCTCTGGCCTCGTCCAAGTTGTCCCAGGTGACGTTGCCCTTGAAATTTGGCGGCAGCTGGATGAAGGCGGTATCCGCATGGATGCGCGGCAACAACATGCTCACACCTGCAAAGGGGGCTAGCTCTGGGAAGAGACACAGCCGACCCTCCAGACCCTTCGGATTCTTACGCGTGCCGTCATCGTTGCTGCCTTTTGTGGGTTTCCGGTCGTCGTCGTCTGAGGCTGCTGCGAAGCCACTGGTCTGAGACTTACATGTTCTGGGTCCCACTTCCTCGCAGAAGACTCCGTGATGCTCCCACCGCACAGGCACCACCCGCGGCCTCCCCAGCCGCGCAGCAGGTCCTTGGCTCTCTGGCAAGATGCCCCCAAGAACCAGGCGGTGTCCGCTTTGGGCCTCAGCCGAGGATCCCGAAGGCTCTCCCGTGAGGCGAAGTCCACTTTGAGGTCGTAGGCTGCGTGGGATCTTCCCAGCGGCCGGGCATCTCCCCACATGGCCAGGCCCAGGCCTGGCCCAAAAAGCAAAGCCGCAACCCTCTCTCAAAAAGAAGAACCTCCCCGCCGGAAGAACCTCCCACGGTGCCGCCGAAGACCCCGGAGAAGGAGAAGAAGGACGCCAGGTGCTCCTCCCGACGCTGCTGCTGCTGCTGTCGGCGCTTCTGCTCATTGCCACTGCTACAACGACGACCACCAAACAGGGAATCTCCTTCTTCCAAGCAACATCCACCCCGGCGTGATGGAGGAACCCTGCAAAGAACGGCGAGCCTCCGGACTGGCGAGGACTCGGGCACTGCCAGAGCTTGCAACTCTCTTTAAACACCGCGTGACCCGCACTGGGACGTGACGTCCACAAAACAAAGTTGAAATCGATGTGTGGAAGCATCGCATTTCCAAGTATCCAAGCGAAACTAAAGGGATTGTTTTGCCGTCCGTGGGATGAGCGTCTTCTTGCTTCTGGGTAAGTTCAAGTCTCACTGAAACCGCTCTCGAGTGCCTTGTGACACCGCCATGACGATGGCAGGCCGAGCAAACTCGCGGACCTTCTCCTCCAGGAACGTCTTCAAGCGAGGCCAGTCGTGCTGCCTCTCGTGCCAAGCTTGAAAACAATGCATGTCAAATAAGCGTCCGGCGCACAGCACGAGCCACAGCGATCACAGCGATCATGTTATGCAAACTCAGAAGCAGTGAGTCAACGCTCTCTCTTGTAGATTCTGTGTCGAATGCCAGGCAACTTCCAGTAGCCAGGACCACGGCGCCAGTCGTACGGGGCAGCAAACCTATAACACTGAGCACTCAGGCACGAATAGTATTCCAAAGTAAAGAATGGTCGGAGGAGAAACGACACAGAGGGCTGTGGTCAACCATGGCCACATCGCAGAACGTAACGGCGAGCAGCACTTGCATGCAAGGGTATATAATGGTATATGCACAGCTTTGCTCCTGTCTGTGAGCACACCATGTGCAGATGGCTGTGCGTCTCACGATGTCCACATAAGCATTGATATCACTCGTGCGTACACAACAACCATACTCTTGTGCTCACAGGCCAGTTCGCGGTCTGCGAAGCTCAGGCCACCTGCCCAACACGAACTACAAGCATGGACACGCCGGCATCACATACACGCGCCAAGTGTGCGATCACACCACCCTGCGACAACCATCACACGGGCAAAGTCGCCAGATAAATACAAGAAGCATTGGATATCATTGAATATACGTAGGCTATGGAGTGCGAAAAAAACGCGCTGCCACACCGCCAGCTGAAGCCAAAACGGAGTCTGCGGCAGGGCAGCATCATGACCATCGTCATCGCCTTCACCGCAGCATGTACACTCACGCCGTCAACATCCTCAACCGAAGCACCAGCACGTGACAACCGATGTCAAGATCATAAACACCATCACTGCCAACGTCGTCGACTCTTTGCCGCCGACATCACCATCCTCTTCATCATCGCCCTCTTTTCAGCATAGCCGAGAGGCAGGTGCGAGGCATTGAAGCCCAGCTTCTCCAGTTGCGCAATGATTGGAGTCCAGACCCCTGTCCTCAATCCCAACTGTCGGGATGATAGTGACAGAGTCGTCTGTGGTCGCGGTGTGGTGGTGGCAGTTTCAGTGCAAAGTCACCAGAATGGCCCCAATGCACCCATTCGAAACTATGACTATGATGGCTTCGGTCTTGGACATTGGCTGAAGCTCAGAAAGCATGCAAGGAAATGAGGACCAGTGGCCCACCATGGAAGATACCGTAGTCGAAGAGCGAATCCTTGATGCTACCTTCAGACCATTCATGACAGAATGTGATGCCGTTGGAAACTCAAAGACATCGCTGTAGACACAAAAGGAGGCCACGAACACACCAACATGGCGAATGAGAGAAGGACAAGAAGAGAAACACTGAACATATGAGGAAAGGTAAGAGCCATAACTCTGGCGATAGAGAGATCACTACTGCAAGCGGGATGTGAAGCAGTGGTGGGGAGTCTTCCCTACATCTCTGAGCTGGCTGTTGAGACCGTGTATATTCAGCATAATCCATATTCTCATCCCTTGTGATACGTGATATCTGGTCTACATGATGATTCTTGGCGACGAACTCGTGCATAACATTGCTCAGACGATCACCGCGATCATCATGCCTGTTGTGACTGCCATCGACAGTCCCCTTTGACACCTTTTGCCGGCTGTCGCGAAAAAAACCCACCAATCTCCACACATCCACCTCCGAAAAAAAGCGAAGGTACAGAGGATGTGAAAACTAAAGGAGGTCGAGTTGAAAAAAAAAATATCCGAATCGAGTGGAGCTCTTCGTTGCAACTGCCTTCGGCCTGACAAGCAAGAGGCATCGAAGCCTGAGGACCATCAAGACCCTGCCGAGACACCATAGCTGACGGTGTGGACATGCACACCTTGCGCTTCGTCCTCAAGCTCCAGAGCGCTGGTAATGGAAGCCGTTACGTTCAGCTGCAGTCCTGGGGCATGGGGGAGGAAGCTGACAAAAACATGCCGGAAGGAAATCGCCGAAGGGTGATGTGTGTCTAGTCTCACGCTTGGAGGCAGTCTATCAGCCTAAACTGGCCTAAACCCTGAACCCTAAAGCAGCAGAGCGCAGCTGAGCTCAAAACCCCTCAGCGTAACCAAACCAGCTCCGGAACCCTGAGCCGAGAACTTCTGTCTCCCTAACACCTCCCCTGAAACCACCCTACCGCTGGGCTCGACGTAAAGGGGGGATTTCTTATTTAAGTTACAATGGGGATCTGTATAGTAGCTCTATCGTAAGGTTTCTTTATGATGGTAACTTGAAAAAAGTCCCCTATCAAGAGCCCAGCGTACGCTTGCGATCTTCTTTACAGAGAGACCCAAGCAGCTCATCTCTTCCATCCAGCAGTCGATAAGCAAAGGGACGAAGTACTCCGCATCAAACCAGACGTGATCTGTCCTCGGCTGCGGTCGCAGAGCTTGGAGCACTGAACAGTTCAGTTCCATCATTCGACGCTATGACCAAGTAATTAGTTTAGCAAGGGCGTCTTAGGGGTCGAATAATTGCAAGCTGGACTCCCGCTCAAGCTGCACATCGGATTCGCGGCACGATCCCTGCTAACGCTTGCATCAAGCAAGCTCCCAGCAAAGCCAGGGATGAACACGATTGGCCTGAGTGTTCCGTTCTCGAGAAATTGAGGCATGGGGTCTCGAGACCGCAAGTGAGCGACAGCGGGCCAGCAAGAGTCAGAGTAAGCGAGTAAGCTCGGAGAGGTGGGTGGACAGAGCTTGAACGAAAGGCACGCTACATCCGAACCGACAAAGCCTTGCTTGTCAGGTCCCGTTGCGGCAGGCAGGAATGCGACGGATCAGCACATGGGTGTGCGCCGTCAGCCACTGCCTGGGTGTGTGTCCAAGCTTCCCTGTCGAGATTTCGAGGCCTGGGTTCAGAAGCACTCCAAGCGACACGAACGAACAAGTCGAAGAGGTCGTATCCCCAAAGACTTTTGGTTGGCTCATTGCAGACGGGACGGATGCTGAATTCACCTTATCGTCAATGATACCCCTTGATTCATAGAAAGCGCGAAATTCCACACAAGATCTTGGCTGCATGGCAGATCATAAACCCTGTGGACCGCCGGCAAGGAATATGGGAAAGTATTCTGTCTTCTCGGGACGTCGGTTTATCTGATCTTAACAATCCTTCAGATATGTCGCCAAAAAATATTTAAGTGGCGGTAAACAGTTTGCGACCCAAGAGGCCCAGGAGCGTCAATTACGGACACTCACATATTTCGGGGTCGATTCTACGGCTTCGTAGCAGAACACTGACATTCGGCCTTTGACACCAGCACAGCCAGGACAGCGAAGCACGACGATACGCCATCGCAGCGCATGGTTAATCAAGAATGACGATGTGGAAGCCATCATGCTGCAACAGGGTTGAGCTACAAGTAGCCGCTGCATACATCCAACAACCCCGTAGCTGTGTGAATGTCGTCTTGCAACATGTTAGAAGCTAAACAGCGGTATTGGAAACTCAATACATTGCTCATTTGAACTTTCATCGAAAATAACAAGTTTGAGCACCCAAGACTCTGATGCAAGGACTTACGGAGCATAGTGCTTGCAGCTATGGTGCATGCTTCCAAAAGAAGACGCTATCTTGCATATGGGCACTGCCATTGCCATGTAAGGATAAGAGCTGGCTTTACACTCTTTTGGGTGACCTTAAACCTTCAATTCTTGAGCATAAGCGGCTTGGGGACTCGGGTAAAACGAAGGTGAAGGTTGTTTCAGTCTGCTTCACAACTTGACACAACTCGGACGCACTCAAAATGCATTCCATCGGTGATTAGGTTTGGCGAATTTCACGTGACGATGAACCACATCCTCAAACTACTACTTTTGCTGCAGATCTTTGTACATGCAAGGCGACTTGCAGTCGCAGCGCACTGTTGCAGCGTGTATGTCAACAGCACGCGTGAGTAACCGTGGAACCATCTGCTTGTTTGCAAGAATGGAATCGTTGTTAGACCGCAATCTTCAAGAAGCTGTGTGGAACAACGTTGTCACAACACCACATGCTGCACGTGCAAGTTTTGCGACGTTGTCAGACGAAACTTCTAATTTCTAAAAACGCACCGTTTTGCAAGAGAAGTGGATGGCTTTTTTTGCCATAGATTTGCATACTGTCCACAACTGGTCTTGGAGGCTTGTTAACAATGTTTGCTGGAAAAAGTACCGACCATGTAAAAGCCTTGGACTGTTTCTACGGTAAACAATAATGCAGCCAATTTGACCAACCTGCTTTCTAGATCACGATCGTGCAGACTCGACTTCAAAGACGTCTTCCGCTTACCTTCGAAAGAAATGGAGCGCCCCAAAAGCAGCATACTGCAACCTGACTGTCACACTACGCTTGTCCTTGTGGAAAAATCATTTTCAAAAATTGCTGTGCCGTTTTGTGAAAAAAAACAGAACGTGCACCACTCGGTCTTTTCTTGAGCCAAAGAGC